CAGAAAATGTCATGAATAAATCTTGGAAGCAGTATTATGTTAAGAGATGGAAAACAAACATGGAAGAGTGCCTGTGCATAATTCCATTCATGTTGCAGTACAAGAACAGGCAAGAACAATCCATAGTGATGGAAATCACAAGAGCAGTTGGCTCGCCTATGAATACTGAATGGAAAGGGGCACAGGGGAACTGTTTGGGTAATGAAAGCCTCATTTATCTTTATTGAAATGTGAATTACATTTGTCTAAACTAATCAACCTATATATTTAAGACATATCTATGTTCAGTATACATACCCCTCAACAAATAACTATCAATCTGTACCAATAGATGCAATGACAGTAGTCATTACTTATGCCCCTCAAGGTTTGTGCCCCTTGCAAGTTATTCAAATACCTTTTGTATTACATTGCGGGTGGTAGAGATATGGAATTAGATGCTATTAAGCATTATAAATTTTCATTCACCTCTTGGAGGTTACCTCCAGCAGGTTATCAATCCTAATCAAGATTTTGGTGTACAATCGGTGTTAATCTCAAATTGATCATTCTCATTTATTGATTCAAAATTCTCAATGATGCCTAGTAAAATGAGGATTATCCAAAATCTATTCTGTCCTCCAGTTGTGTTTTTAAATAGAGCACACAAAAACTCAAAAGTTGGACCACTGATCCAGGTCAACTTAATTAAAGCACTTAATTTCTCTGTCTTAGTGATTTTCTCACATGGGCAGGTGACTCATTCTGGGTCTTTTTTTTTTTTTTTTTTTTTGTCTATAAGTTTGAGGAAAAGGGAATTTCTTTTTATAAATATTTTTCTGGAGGAATGTTAATTGGAACTTCTGGAAATCCTTTATCCTGCCTCAGAAAAATTTATAGTAAAGGAGAAACATGAAAGAGGGAGAATTCTCTCTGCAGTGAAACTAGAAGCAGAGAGGTTACTTAACTCACTATATACAGCCAACACTGCCAAAATAACAGAGCCAGATAAAGATATGACAAGAAAGAAAGCAACAATCTTTCATTAAAACAGATGCAAATATCCTCAACAAAATATTTTGTCTAATATAATAATGTATAAAAGGAATTACATAGTATGGCAAAAAAGCATAATTTAGATGTGCAAACTTAGTTTAAATTCAACTAATGCCATTCCTCAACAGGTCAAAGAAAAAAACTCAAATGCTCTTGTCAATAAATACAGAAAAAGAATTTAACAAAACCCAACATCTATTTATAATTAAAATTTTCATGTAGTTAGAAATAGAGAATTTCTTCAACTTGATAAGGAGACTCTACTTAAAAATCAATAATTAATATTATGTTTAATGTTGATAAACTAAGTGTCTTCCCCCTAAGTTTGAGAATAAGGCAATGGTGATCTCTCTCATCACTCCTACTCAACATTGTACAAGAAATACTTGCTAATGCAAGAAAAAAAATAGGTCATAGACCTAAACAAACCATCTCAAACTTTAAAATTTCTAGAAAATAGCACAAAAGAAAATCTAGATGACCTTAGATTTGATTATGAGATTTTTAGATACAAAATCAAGATCACTATCTATGAAAGAAAATAATGATAATTCCTAATTGATTAAAATATTCTCCTCTTCTAAATGAAATCTTTAGAAAAAAAGATAACGCACAGAATGAATAAAATATTTTCTAAACATGAATAAGATATAGAACTTGTATCCAAAATCACAAAACAACACTTAAAACTCAATAATAAAAAAACAAAACAAAACAAAAAAAACAATGTAAAAAGAGACAAAAGAACTATATGGAAACTTTACCAAAGAAGATGTACTTTGAATGCCAGCAAGGCCAGAAGATAAGAGGCTAACATTAAGATGCTCAAAGGAAAAAGTCTGAACTGAAGATTTTATATCCCATCACCAACAAATGGTTGACATGCCATTTCATAGGGAATACCTTAAATCTTTCCTAAAAATAATCTTCCAGAAAATAACCTTCAGATAACAAAATGACTAAAGAGACCTCTGTAAAGGATTTTTACGTCCTTAAAGATTATTAGCGATGTAGAAAGAAGATATAAATGCAAGAATATAAATTTAAATACAAAGTATCAGTATAATTCATGATACAGTTCCTCTTTCAAAAGCAAGAACCTATACCTAGTCTGCTGACAAGTGTAAGGGACCGGCGAACGACGGAGGAAGAGACCACCAAGAGACCGACTCATGCAACAGCAAAAGGGGGTTTATTGCAGATCCAGCGCGATGGGGCTCCGTGCTCACTCAAGTAGGGTGAGCCAAGAGCCCCGAGCAGGGGTTAAGCAGTGCTTAAGTACACTTTTTGGGGAGAGCGGGGGGCTTTGCATACATCAGAGCAAATCATCATGAGGCGCAGGAAAATCGAACAACAACTCTCAAACATGATTAGTACATTCATTGGCAGGAACATGTCAGGCAGGGGTGATAGGTCAGTCCTAAAGCGGGGTGTACATTCAAACTGATTGGTTTAGGTCCTGAGGTGCCTACGTGCTGAGCTGCACTGGGTCCAAGTTGTTAAGCAACTAGGGGGGATTCCTACACATATCTAATGGGCAGTCCCAGGAATTGTCTTAACAGCTGCAGGAATTTCAGGCTTTGAGTGTAGCTTAGAAACTTAACAATACCTGGTCCTTTACATTTTAACTTCAGTTTCTTTTACCCTTTCACAAGGAGACAATGACAGGCTAAAAATACCAGCCAACCCAACTGCAGTGCATAGAGCTAGTACCTAAAATTCAGTCTGTCATCTCAGTACCATTTCTTACGGAAAAGAACCCAGCGACCCTTGGGAAATACGATGTCCAGGACTGGGATAGGAACATACATGATGGATGAAATATTCAAGATAGCCATGAATCTATTCAAAATTATTCAAGTAGTTAAAAAAAAAACCCTCAGGAGTGAAAGATTGAAGAGACTCTTGATGGCTAAAATGATTTAATTGGTTCATCAATAAAAATAACAGCTATAATGCACTAAAACATATTAGACATTTATTTCCATGAGTGCATTATAACCTAAAACAAAAGAAGACCTAATGGGAATCATCATCAGAATATGCTAGGAACATGGCAAATGTTGAAAATGGATAAAACACTTATCCTATCTGCATTGATCTGAACAACTGTCCTGGAAAGGCCCAGGTTTTAAAGGATTAGTCCCCAATCGGTGGCATTACTGGGAAGTGGTGGAACCTGTAAGAGGTGGGGCTTAGTGGGAGAAAGGTGTGCCCTGGCAGAGGCAAGCCTTTAGAGGTGATATTGGGACAAGCCCCTTCCTCCCTCTCTCTCTCTCTCTCTCTCTCTCTCTCTCTCTCTCTCTCTCTGTGTGTGTGTGTGTGTGTGTGTGTGTGTGTGTGTGTGTGTGTGTCCTGGCTGTCCTAAGATGAGCAACTTCTTCTGCCATGCACTCCCACCATGATGTGTTGCTTTGCCAGAAATTCTAAAGCAGTGAGCCAATCAACCATGAGCTGGAAGTCCCAAAACAATGAACCCAGGTCATCTTTTTTTTCCTTATAAGTTTATTGCCTCAGGTATTTGTCACAGTAATGGGAAGCTGGCCTACTCCCTTGCCTGTACTAATGTACCATCGAGTAGGGTTTTAGCTTTTTCACTGCTCTGACTAAAGGACCTGACAAGAACAATTTTAAAGGAGGAAAATTTTATTCAGGGGCTCACATTTTCAGAGGTCTTAGGCTATAGACGTGTGGCCCCATTTCTTGGGGCTTGAGATAGGCTGAATATCACGGTGATGAGTGTGGCAAAGGGAAGCAGCTCACATCATGGTGACCAGGAAGCACAGAGAGAGACTCCATTCTGCAGATACAAATATATACACCAAAGCCATGCCCTAATTCCCACCTCCTCCAGCCACACCCTACCACTTCAGTTACCACTCAGTTTATCCCTGTAAGAGGATTAATTCACTGATTGGGTTAAGACTCTCACAACCCAATCATTTCTCCTCTGAACCTTCTTGCATTCTATACATAAGCTTTGCGGGGACACCTCACATCCAAACCATAACAAGTATTCTAACAGTAAAACAAACTTTTCACTTTATACTAGTATTACATCTCAAAAACAAAGAAAGGAGGGTAGATTTAAAATATCACCATTTCCACCCCAAATGAATCATTGATTTTAAGCATAGGACATCAATATCTGCTAATCTCCTCTCTCTCTCTCTCTCTCTCTCTCTCTCTCTCTCTCTCTCTCTCTCTCTCTCTCTCTCATACAGAGAGACACACACAGAGAGAGAGAGAGAGAGAGAGAGAGAGAGAGAGAGAGAGAGAGAGAAACACACACAAAAGAAAGAAAAAGAAAAAAACACAAAATTGAACATTTTTGCTTTCTGATAGAACACTCTACCATCAAAGAAATTATAGTGGGAAAAATGTCTAACCTAAACCAGATCAAAATGCTAGACCTTAATACCAGGATCTACAGGAAACCTGCTCAAGCACACACAAACAACCTGACTTATTCAACAGCAATGAAAAGAAAGAAAGAGAGAATAAGAAAGGAGAGGGGAACTAATGAGTAAAAGAAACTTTAAAGATTGAATTCTCATATATGGACTCATTCAGATCCTGATTCACACATGTATAAAATAAATCTTTTATGGCATTTATGAGATAATGACACTTGGCATATTACTGGATATTTTGCAATATTAAAAAGTTATTGTTCCATTCTTAGTATATTCATACTTTCTTCATATTAATAAATGAGTCTTTCAGAAATATATGCTGAAATATGGAGAGATGAAACTCTGATTTCTGGGGCTCTCTTCAAAATTCTATGAACCAGAAGAAAGCGAATGCAAAGGGGTAGAGAGCCTAGAAAGAGTTGATGATTATGGGAGTTATGTAATAAGTTCTCAGAATTTGATGATATCTATTTGTGTCCATGTTTGAAATTCTCAATAGTGAAAAGTTCCTTTCAAAATAGAGATAGTGCCCAGTGTGGTGGCACATACCTGTAATCCCAGTGGCTCGGGAGGCTGAGGCAGGAGGATCACGAGTTCAAAGACAGCTTCAGCAACAGCAAGGTGCTAAGCAACTCAGTGAGACCCTGTTTCTAAATAAAATACAAAAAAGGGCTGAGTATGTGGCTCAGTGGTTCAGTGTCCCTGAGTGCAATCCCCTGTACCAGAAAAAAAAAAATAAATCAAGATAGTATTGACCTTTCTCTAGTCTTTCGTTCTTTTGCTTGATTTCAATGCTACTGGAATAACATCATCAAAAGCTTTGGGATAATTCTGTATATGGAATTGAAGACTTAAATACATGCAAAGCAGCTCAGCTTCCCTTCACTATGCTTCCCCCATTCGCCAGGCTGATGATTAGTCATGAGAAAGAAGGAAACAAAGGAATAGCTTAGCCTTGGCAAAGGGTCAAAGGGAGGAGAGTTGTCATGACCAACAGCCCCCAGGAATCTCTCTTTCCGAGTGCAGAGACTTGCATGTAAATTTGAAGCATACATGATTGGTTTTCTATTCACGTTAAGTAAACCCAGCTCTCATTGAGACCAGGAAAGGGGGCTACAGGTGGACATCGCAAATAATATAGATTTGGAGTTCTCAGTAGCTGAGCTCTTTGCTTTGTTAGTGAAACGACATCATTAGTTTCCTTAATATTGAATTTCACAGACCTACTTCTTTTAATAGTGCTTACTTTTAACATTTTCACACACATTATCTTGTCATATTTTTTTAAAAATGTTAATTTGACATCTTTCTCCCTATAACCCCCAATCTCAGTGAAAAATATTTATTATGTGACCTTTGTAAAGAAAGGAATTCTCAAAATGATTTAAAGTTATATTCTATTACCCTTAACCTGAAATTAAGAGCTTACCAGGAAGCATTTGAATTTCTAATTTCTTCCTTCATAGTATAGCCATGGCACAGACCCAGCTGCAGGATAATATTGGCAAGCAGAGCAACGAATTTTCACTGAAAACCCCAAACACTGAAGGCTTCATTTTTCTTTCCTTTTCTTTCTTCCTCCCCTTTTTTCTTAAGAACTCCCCTATCATATGAGATATGCAATGCCATCAGTACCAGAGTGCTCTGTGGAATAATGGATCCTTCAGTTTTCAGCCACACAAAGAAGCGTCACTAAGGGAACTCGGCACTAACATCAACAACAGAAAAAAAGAAAATTGCCCGTTTTTCACTGAAACTGCTCTTATTCTTCTTCTAATTTTTTTTTTTTAGCAATTTTGTCTTTTTAAATGTAAATACTTGTAAGGGTTCAGAAAAGATATCCAGTTATTAACATTTCAGGTATAATTATTACTCTTCCTAATCTCCACCTTCTCCACGGAGTAGTCTCCTTTGGAAGAAGTATTATTACCTTCCTCCTTGTGTGGGCCCTCAGACATCTTCAAATAAATGTCTGTAGGTGGGTCTCTCTGATTATAAAGGCTGAGTGAAATTAATGTTATTAATGTACCAAGGTGTGAAGTCTGAACTTCAACTGCCTTTCCCTAAAGATCTCTGTTGATTATGTGTTTGAAGCTACAGAAGATCTGTCCCAAGTGTCGCTGTTGAAGCCTTTTTACCAGCGCTTGAGCTAATAAGGGGAGAAAATATGCAGTTTTTCTCTAATGTGCAGTTGGAGTGCTGACGAGCAGCTTATCAGTGCTAATGATAACTGCTGTGTTGCAGCAGCTAGAATCAGGAGATGCATTTCATATTTGCATTCTTTTTTTTTTTTTTCTTTTTTCAAAATTGAACTACTTTAGGAAATCAGTAGAATGTTGCCTGGAGCCTTGCCTACAAGCTGCTGCCTTTGAGAACATTTGCGAGGCCTTGAAAGAGTATAAAGATTGCATTTCTTACGTATTTCTTGGTTTATGGGAAGCATGGAATGGTAAGGTGCCTTCCCAGGGACTGTTAGACACGTATAACGTTGCAATCATTTTCTATATATCTGAAGTCCCTTAAGACTGCTGCTCATGTTTTCAAGTGTATCAGAAGATGCAGCTTTTAGGGTACTGATCTAGAGTTTCATTATGTTAACAAAGAATGTTAAAATTCTAAGAGTTCCTCCCGATCCTCCAGATTACATTGTCACTGGACTTAGAATTCTTGATTCAGAACAGTCTTCAACCCACATCTTTGGTTCCAGGCATTCAGTTAATCATGCATGCGTTCATTCACTTAGTGGATTGGTCAATAAGTATTTATTAAGCACCTAGTATGTGCTATAATTACTATATTTTATGTTGTTATATAAAAGAGGGTAAATTAATCCAAAAGGAACTCACAATCTAGGAAAGATATAAACATAAAAGCTTGAATAAAATACTCTGGAAACCAGGGAAAGAATAAAGAATGTTCCTTGGCCTGTGGGACAGGCTTTAAATAGAAGGTAAGGGTTACCCTAGGACTTTGCGAAAAGAAATATTGGTACATTTTTGCAGCGTGTTCTTTATCACGCCAATGAGTCTTCTGCCTTGCCCCCTGCAAAAAATAAAGTAAAATAAAATCATGATTATAAGCTAGTAACAGTGCTTTGATCTTTGGTGTCAAGAAATTCTATCTCCAGAAAGTCCCTGTTAAACTGTGAAGGAAGTTTGCTCATTAACTTTTATAGGGCTCTCCTGTTATATCTCACGAGCCGTGTGAGGTTCAAATGAAAAGATCACATTCTTCATAAAGTATAAAGTACTACGCAAGTGTCAGTTATATGTGGTATTATTGCTATCTGTTATAGTAATATAGTAATAGCACTATTACTTTCATAAGGATTATTTTATCAATTTTTTGGACTCAGGCAATATAACTTGGAAAAAAATTGAAAAGCATAAATGGCTTAAAACTATTTTTATATAATACCATAGTACAGACTTCCAAAATGTTTTTTTTTTTTTAAAGGAGACAGGCTTGCAGCTTGGCATAAACAAACAAACAAAAAAAAAACCCTTTATGATACCAGAGAGACAAAAATAGTCCAGATTATCTGCTGTACTTTAGAAATTATAATGACTTCCAACTATTTGCCACACACTGTAATCAGAAGCCCCATTTCACACACCAGGCATGGTACACTCTCCCGATGAAGCTGGCTTCATCCTTCTTATACCTTCTCAAACCACACGTCAGCTACCACGGATGCAGTAAATGATTCAGTGGTTAACCTAAACACCGCTCTCAGTGCCAACAATCCAGAGACCCCCAAGCCTTTTTTGAAGGAATGCATTTGATATGTCTATTAGAAGCATCAAAATAGTTAACCATTTAAAAAAGAACTCTTTTGTCATTTAAAATCATTTTTATTTTGAAGTGCAGGTGGGAGGGGGTACCATACATTTTTCAGTGTTTAAAGACCTCAAAAAGGTCTTAACGTGATCCCACTTGGGATTTTAAAAGTTTCCTGCAATTCTAAATCACTGGAAGGAACAGCAGCATGATGTCAGAAACTGAGGGCAAAGCTGGATGGACATCAAGGTCTCTGAGCTCCCCCACTCCAACCTGCGAACGAAAAATGGGCTAAGGATGCTCAGTGAACAGAAAAGGCTGCTCTCAAATCAGATTGTACTATTACCTGCAGCCAGGAGGTGCCAGCACTAGAAACAAAGAGCTCTCCCCTCAAGCTGTAAATATCTCCTGATAAAATCTCCCCCATTAAAAAGTGTCTAGCCCCAGTCTTCCTGTCTCTCCTGTGCTACCCACAGGAATAGAAAAACTGGCCCCGTGGTTTGATTAAGGTGTATCACGAGTACCCGGATTATGGAAAAACTTCCTTTAGTATCTTTTTTCCTGGTGTAAAAGATGTCCTGAGAAAGCCACTGGTGCACTGGACATTAAAGCCCCCCATCCGTCAGAACAGGCCTACGCACAGGTGAGCAAGAGGTTCTGGCACATCTTGCACAAATACTAGAATTCACCAGAGTTCTCCAGAACCTGCTGAGTTGCAAAGTCCGGAGAAATAACTAAGGTGTTTAATATCATGATGGTGGTGCAGCCAGGCAAAGAACAGTAGGTTCACATCAGTTAACGTTCTTGTCGCACTAACAGTGACATTCTCAAAGTCCCCCTCCTTTCCCAAATCTCTCCTTTGCATCCTCCGATGCTCCTTACCTTCGCACCAGTATTCTCCTAATTCTCCCTTTGTTTTCTACCATTCAGCATCCACTTGGGTTTCCTTATGAACTTCAATATTGTCTCACAAAAACCTAACAAGGAAAAATGGGTATGCCGACAGCAGATATTTCCTTAGAGGGTGCAAAGAGGAAACCCTGAGAGCAAAAATCTAAACATTTAACATTTTGGCAAAAAAAAAAAAAAAATGATCTCTGTCCCAGCCCAGTTGTCATCTCAAAAATCTGAATGTGGACATAAGATATGACAGGCAAGTTTTATATGGACCTAGGTGATATGAGGACCCGTGGGCCAACAGAAAAGGCACCCACAGGAGAGTCATAAGCATAATGTGCCGGGGAGTTTTGCAACTATTACTTTATTGTCCTTCAGAGTAGTGTGGAAGGATAAATTTTTATTATCTTTGTTTTATAGGTGAAGAAATAGAAATTCAGGGAAATGAAATAATTTGCCAGCTAATTATAGCTGAAGTCGTGGGAAGAGGCGCTGCTGGTAGCTTCTAGGCCAAAGTGCCTAACCTAAAGTCACACTATCTGCACAGTAGGAGGACTGGCCCTTGCAATCAAGGAGCAGCATTAGAGATCGTGGCAGCTCCTTGAATAGAAAGAAAGCTTTCCAAAGACAGCACTTATCCACCTCCCCCTTCACTCCAGGCCTGGCTCAGCCTCTCCCCAGCGCCCAAGCCTGCCTTGACACCAAACACACCAGGGTGGCTCCTGGTAGTTGGTGTCCTCTTCTCTCACAATTGTCCTGTGTATCTGATTTCCAGTGAGGGCTGTAGAAAGAAATGACCATCAGGGTGGCAGTCACACATGCCAGTGTTGGGCTAGTCCAAGAAAGATACCATTCTCTGCCTGCTTCTCCTCCTTCCTTCTGGTTCAGATGGGAAGGCGCACAGCTTGCTTAGGGGTGAAGGGGGTTAAATCTCCGTGGGCCATTCGAACAGCTTTAAAACAAAACAATAAAAAAAGCTCTGTAAGCCCTAACACCTTTTATATATTTTGCAATTAAAAGAGAAGAAAGAGAATAATGTGCCCCTAGCAAGGCACATATATACCTTCTCCTTCAACCTATGGCATTTCCATTCTAACCCTGTTTTCTCTCTACAGCCTGCCAGCAATATCCTTAATTAGGGGGTCACTATTTTTTTTTCTTTTGAAAATAAGAAATAGTATAAAAACCTCCCATGCTCCACTTTTATGGAAGGGACATAGAAACACATTAGTTAAAGGCACTTTGCATTCTTTTTTCCATACCGAAGTGATCCTTATAAAACCCGGTTCACTGTATAATTAATGACCCTTTTCTCATGCTTTAGGGCATAAGCTGATTACCAGTCTAGGTCAGAGAAAACATTTCCCGGGTGTAGGATTGCACAATTAAATGTGTTGTGAGGAATTTGTGCTTTCCTTTGATGCTCCAGTCTCTGCCACTGTGGGGGGCAGGATGCTGGGCAGGATGGGCAGTTGGTGGTTACGGTGTCCAACACCCTCCTTTTCTCCACACGCACTGAAAGCTGACCTGAGACCACCTGAAACATACATCACATGCGGCCTTCTCCTGCCCCCACAGGGAAGCAGATGTCTACCAGGGAATAGTCAGGATGCAGCCAACTGAAACATTTTTAACACGATGTGAAAGTTGATCTTTCTGGGAGAAAAAAAAAAAAATAATAATGGAGCAGCCCCTCCTGACTACATTTGCTTTGACTCACAAGTTGCTGAGGTAGCATTTCTTGACTAGATTAAAACCTGTGTTTCTGTTTTAAACTTAAGCAAAGAGAAATCACGTGTTCCCTGAAACAGAAAGGAAAACTAACGACAAAATGAATACCAGTTATACAGAGCATTAAAATATTAGAGTATTGATTACGGTGTCAATAAAGCTGGCCAAATTTTATATCCTAAAGCAGTGCTATCAATGGAATTTTCTGGGATGATGGAAATATTCTAACGTTTTGCTATCTGATATGGCAACCATTAGTCACATCTGGTTAGTAGTCACTTGAAAGATGACGTGTCTGACCAAAGGAACTGAAATTTCAGTGTAATTAAATTTAATTGATTTGAATTAATTTGATTAAAATGAGATTTCGGTTTATTTAAATTTAAATAACCATATCTGGCAAATGGCTGTCTTGTTGGACAGCACAGTTCTAAAGGGAATGGTGTGAATATTTACATTTCATGTACTGAGAATATTAAAAGAATATTAGTAAACAAAATGTGGTTTCTCTAATGTTTATTGATATCTATTATGTCCACCACAAAAAAAAAGATCTATTTCGTCGGCTAATGCTTACTAGACAAGAGCAGGCACTGGATTTGTGTTTCGCCCTCCAACTATGGCCTTGCCTCCAGGTGATAAAAGTGAGTCCAACACATGTTAGGAAGCACTCATATAGTCACTCTTTTACTCATCTTCGTTTCTATATTGCTTTGTTAAACTACAACATTGAGAGCAAATCGGTAAAGGGACTATCTAATTGAGAAAGCCCCCACCATCCCTTTCTATTGCTCCTATTATCTTTTGAAAGATCAACTGTACAAAAGAGTTGAATTATATTCCGTTGATTATATTCAATTTGCAAGATTAAACGATTCTTTTTAATAGTTCCTTTTGCTTACTTTGCTTTTCCTCATTTTTCTCTTACCAGGTGACTTTTCTTCTTTCCGGCTTGGGCCAGAAGGTATGCTATACCTGCCATGACAAATATCACAGATCAAGAGTTTTAAAAAACAGAGATCCGGCTGGGCGTGGTGGCACAAACCTGTAATCTCAGCAGCTTGGAAGGCTGAGACAGGAGAATCGCACGTTCAAAGCCAGCCTCAGCAAGAGCAAGCCAGGTGCTAAGCAACTCAGAGACCCTGTCTCCAAATGAAATACAAAATAGGACTGGGGATGTGACTCAGTGGTTGAGTGTCCCAGAGTTCAATCCCCAGTTACCATCACCCCCTGCCAAAATAAAGAGATTCATTCTCCCACTGTTCTGAGGCTGAGAGTCAAGATCGAGGTGCCCACAGGGTGGTGTCCTCCAAGGACTCTCTTCTTGCTTGCAGAAGACCACTCTAGAGCTGCCTTTTCACATGGTCTTTTCTATGTCCCCATGCACGCTTGCTGTTTCTCCCTGTGTCCTAATCTGTTGTTAGAAAGCACCAATCAGATTGGATTAGGACCCACACTGCTGTCTTGTTTTAATTTAATTACCTGTTTAAAAGTCCTGTCTCCAAACAGAGTCACATTCTGAGAGAGTCTGCAGGTAAGCATCCACATATGAACTTTAGAGGAATCACAAGCCTGTCATTAACAATGAACAAAAGCAATATATGGTATTTTTTAAGAGTTATGTGTATCTTGATTTATAGTTTTGATGCTTCTATTATCAATAAAGGGTCATCTGTCTTCAGGCATTATCTTTCTGACTTACTGGTGGGCATGTAAACTTAAAAAAAAAAAACTAGTAAACAGAATGGAAAGTTTCCTATTGTTCTAACTAATTTATATAGGATTAAAAGGTACCAGGTACCGTATGTCTACCACATTCTTACATTCTTTTTATGTCTAGTTCATCTTTGTCAAAAGGAAAGAGAGACCAGACACAATGGCTCACACTTGAGAAGCTGAGGCTAGAGGATCCCAAGTTCAAGGCTAGCTTCAGCAACCTAGCAAGACCTCTAGTAAGACCCTGGCTCAGATAAAACGGGTTGGGGATGTAGCTCAGTTCTATCTCCAGTTCCCCTGCTACAAAAAAAAAAAAAAAAAAAAAGTAAGGAGAAATAACAAAGAGAAGGGTACCTTTTAAAAATATGTATAATCTGTATAATCTTAAAAATCCTAAGGGAAGGAATAAAATCTTTTTGTATGCATCTGATATTTCAATAGTACAGGTTTATTAGGTGCGAATATCCTTAAAGATATAAACTGTTTTTCAACCACCTAGTCAGTTCACGTTAAAAAATATTTTTAAAGGTGCTTTGATGGTGTTAAATAATGATTATGAAACATAAGAATGAGTGAAACATTTTCTAACAGTCAGTTACTGTTTAGAATTTGTGAAATAGATACCATGATGCAGAGTTGATGTGTTTGACTTAATTTCTTGAAAGCAATCCAAAGAAGTTATTAAACCTCAACCAAATGTAATAAAAATGTAATGTTTTCCCATTAAAAAAGATATGCAAATTTATTCAAGGTCTTTTTCACTAAGAAATAATTTAAGTCCTAACTGAAATGAAAAAAAATCTAAATTATTTTTAATCACCACTGGAACAGTTTTTGGTAGTCAACCTACTCAAAATTATTTGCACATGTTGATATAACTTAAAAGAATCAAAGTTCTCAATTTCACTCAAGTCCATATTTTAAATGAACTTGAGAACTCAGGAACTTTTGCTCTTGGTTTTATGTAGCTTGCCATCTCTTTAGTATTCAACTGCTAATCATCTAAAACTAGAAGTTAGTCAAATGTGTTCTTAACATTACCGCCAGTGGTCATCTTGGTTACACTTCTGAAGAACAGATTTGTGAGGCAAAGCAGAGTAGTTCCCCCTTCTATGTGTGGGACTCATTCCAAGAAGGCCCCCAGTGGATTCCTGAAACTGCAAAAAGTATCAAACTGCATATATACTATACTATGTTTTTCATATGCATGCATAGCTATGAGAGTTTGAATTTATCTAACAGTCACTGTAAGTCAATTAACAACAATAACTAATAATAGAAAGTTATAACAATATGCTGCAATAAACTATGTGAATGTTATCCTCCCTCCCTCTCTCTCTCTCTCTCTCTCTCTCTCTCTCTCTCTCTCTCTCTCTCTCAAAATATCTCATTGCACTGTACTCATCCTTCCTCTGTGATGATGAAATGGTACACAATGCCCATGTGATTAGATGATGAAGTAGGCATTGTGAGAGAGTTAGGGCACTTCATAAGGGATTTCTGGACACAAGCCTTATAGTACTGTGTCAGCTCATCTGATAACCTAGACAGCTGCTAATTGATAAATGGGTACAGTGAAAATATGCTGGGCAAAGGGACGATTCACATCCCAAGTGGAACAGAATGGAATGGTGCAAGATTTCTGTTACTCACTAGAGTAACAGAAAATGATCTCATATAGTAGCATAAATAAAGATCAAAAAGCTATACATCATTGCCTATCAGCATATAAAGCTAAGTAATTTTAGTCAAATATATATTTTTATTAACCATTATATACTTCTCTTATTTTTATTGGTGCATTATAATTTTACATAATAGTGGGATTCATTATGCCATATTTTTAATTCAATGAATCTCATTCCCCAGCATCTGTCCCTTTCCCCTTTTTTCTCCTGGTCCACTTGCTCTATTCTACTGATTCAAATATATTTTTAAATGGTCAGTTTTCAATTAACAGGCAGGTCATAGACTATGGGAAAACAATATATTCACCCGTGGATCTGAGAAAAATCTTATTTCTAAACTATATAAAGAACTCAATAACTTTAAAATCCTATGGAAATGGGAAGGAAAAAAGTATAAGACACTTCAGAAAAATAGAATATCCAAGTGGTAGGAACATGCATAACTGCTTAACCCATCAGGAACACAAATTCAAACCACAATGTAATACCATTTCACATCCATTAGAAATTCTAAAGTCCAAAAGACCAAGACCAACAATGCCAAATATTGGTGAGGATGTGTAACTGAACTTTCATACTCTGCTAGTGAGAATACACCAACTTTAGAAAGTTATTTTGCATTTTTCTTGTTGAGCCGCATATTTGCTTCGCTTTATGACCCACCCATTCCATTTCTAGATATTTATTTAGCCTAGGAAAATAAAAATATATAACCACAAGAAATACTTGCATAAGACTCTTCACAAGGACCTTATTCATAATAGCCCCAAACTAGAAACAACCTAAACTTCATCAACAGAAGGATACACAAAAATATGACATTTATATAAGGGAATGCAACTCAGAAAAAAAAAGTAATGGACTTCTGATGATACATATTCTGATATTCTGGTAACCATGTTCTGATACAATATGGATAAATCTCAAAACTTTTTTTAATGAAATGTTTTAGACCAAAAAAGAATATGCTCTGTAATTGTTTATATGAAGTCCAAGAATAGGTAAAAACTAATCTATGATGAGAAAAAATAAGAAATTGGTTTGTATTACCTTTATATTCCTGTTCCAAAATACCAGATATGAGCAACTTCAAGGAGGAAAGATTTATTTTGATTAGTGGTTTCGAGGTTTTAGTCCGTGGTTGGCCAATTCCATGGCTCTGGGCCTGAGGTGAGGAACAATGTGAGGTCAGAAGAGCATGGTGGAGGAAAGCCAATCAATTCATGGCAGTCAGGAAGCAGAGAGAAGGAAGAAGAGACCAGGGAAAGGATATAGTCCCCAGTGGTGTACGCTCAGTGACCTACTTCCTCCAAACGTGCCCCACTTGCCTTCAGTTCCCACCCGATGTCCATTCAGCTGTCAGTTATTAATCCACTGATGAGGTCAGAGCCTCAGGATCCAATTACTTCCCCAAAGCCCCACCTCCAGACATTGCTACATGAAGGATAGATAAACTTTTGGGGAACTTTCCAGATTTAAAACCGAACATGGTTGCTGGGAAGATTGTGGGTTAAAAAATAAATAACAACTTGCAATATGAGGAAACTTTCTGGGGGGATAAAAATGGTTTATATCTTTTTTTGAGTAGGAAATTAGACAGGTGTGTGCAGTTGTCGAAACTGCACATGAATGAACACTTAGGATCTGGTGTTTTATGTTAAATTCTACCTTATTTTTTTCAAACCTCTTTTCAGAGTTGTCTTGACTATGGAATTATGTATGAAGTACTGTGCACCTATATTAAATGCTTATTATTTTTTTTAAAAAAAAACAGCTCTTGAGTCCAATGGAAGAAGGTAAATACATTCTGCAGAGAAGATTAATTCTTTTGTTAAAAATTGCTGACCTGGGGAGCCAGTACCTAGTGCTACAGTTTGTATCTTAATTGTCCTCCAAAGGTTTGATGTGTTAAAGATCTGGCACCCCGAACGGTACTATCGGAAGCTGGTGGAACTTTGGAGACATGGGGTCTAGTGAGAGGACTTTAGGTCATTGGGAGTTATGGCCTTGGAGGGGTTAGGGGGGCCGCTGGCCCTTCCTTTTCCTCTCTTTTATTTTCCAAATATTGTATGAGTTATTTTGCTCTGCCACATGCTTCTGCTGTGATGTGCTTCCAGGCCTAAAGATAGAGGCCCTACCGTGCATGAATTGAAACTTCTAGAACTATGAGCCAAAATAAAACTTTTCTCCTTATAAGTTGATCATCTCAGGTGTTAATTATAGTGATTGTTTAACTTTTCATAGACAAATGTTATACAATGTCCTTTGATAAACAGATGAGAATCCAAAGAGAGAGAATGCAGTTTAGGAATAATTTTTCAAAGTACAGCACAGGTTAATAAACCTGTGGCTAACGTTTACATCAAAGCCTTTTCTAGATATCTGCACTCAAAATTGTGTCTTGTTAATTGTCCAGCTAAAAGAGAGAGTGAAAATGAGAGACAAGGCTTCACTTATTTATACTCATTGCGGAGGGTTCCACAGATAGGGTGCCTGCTGTTCATTTATTCTCAAGGACCTGTCACGTTTCAACATGTCCACTCACATCACAATGCTAGGCCTCAGACTTCTTGTTCACATTATACTCCGTATTGTAGAATAAATACACGCAATTCCGGTGGGAAAACTCTTCCAGGTGGAACATTTGTTATAATTGAGACTCTATTGGGAA